CATACATACATACATACATACATCTCAAACACTTGCTGATGTTGCTGTAAAAAGCAAGGAGAGTCTCAATAGTCAGGATAAAGATTGTTATCTAGGCTTCTCCCGTATCTCTTTTTCAGAACATTTTGTTCTAACATCCGTAGTGTATCGATGGCTTAAGTCACGAGAAATCAAGAATGCCCTATGTTTTTGAATGGAATATCTATTGCTTGATGGCTATAGCAACGCGCAGTCATGTTCCGTTTCCTCGCACTGCTACTAATACATAAAGAACCGATTCTCATAACAAAACTGATAACGAGCAGGATAATGGTCGAACCAATGAAAGCGGTGCGAGATAAATCAGTGCACTGCATGGGCACAAATGAATCCTTAATTCTCTATGACTATGGTAGACTACAGTATGGTGCATAAACGGTAGAATTGCAGGTGCCATAGCCTGAAGTAGTCAGTATAGCAATTCTGGAGGCCCATCGGATCTGTGGATGAGTTCGTCTGATAATATCAACAACCAGAGCGCTAGCTTTTCCAACGATCCGGTTTTGTTTGTATAATAAGGATGATGTCAGAAAGAAAGGGCCTCAATCTCGATGCTGATTTGCCAACTTTCGCATGATCAGAATGCAACCATTTGCTCCTAACCTCAGAACATGACCAGGAACAAACTCTTTGACCCTCATGATTCACTGATCCACTGAGATTGAGAAAGAGTATAAATTAGTCGTCTTTGCTTGTTAAGCATTTTGATCACAAAGTCTATTTGTAAATGTGTCTCAGTGCTATCTAAATAATGTTTTCTCTGGGCAACAACCGAGTATCGCACAATTTTGAGATGATGGAAGTCTTTTAGAAAATATAAAGTTTCTCGATTCACTGGACATGAAGTGTGGAAGCATAAAATTTGGTTCGAAACCGTCATCAACTCTGAGGTGGATGGCAGTTCTTTTACGCAACAATGGTTAACTTTTACAAGTATGATGATAAATTACATGAATATTACACTTCATTTTTTATATAGTCAAATAGATACATATAACGTTGCTATATTTTAAATTATTAGATTAAACTGTCAAATATTACAAAATATTCAAGGTAGAACAAAAACTGAAGCACTGTTCGAACTTACGTCTTGAATGACCCCTACGTATGCGACTGCTATCGCTGCCGAAACTGCCTTCCTGAAAGAAAATATTCTGACACGATATAGAATGATGAGCATTGATTCTAGAAACAAACAGATTAAGGAAGAAGCCACATTTAATCTCATGCTAATGTCATTGGTGCATATCCCATAAACGAACATCTGCAGTTCGAAAACAGATAATAGCTAAAATTGAGAATTTCATTCAAAAGTGTATTATCATGTAATATATTTTCTTTTATCCCTATATGCCAACCGGAAAACGAGTTATAATCACGGAATAACTCGTGTTCTTCTGCCCTATTGATGAATGAACTGGAGAATCCAAAGTCTTATGGCCACCGTTTGCGTATATCTTTAATATATTAAATTCATATCGCGGAGGAACGTGTAAAAACAATCATTTTTTATACTACATGCATTTATGTATGAAATAATAAGGAGGTGTTCGACATCATTGGGTCATAAGCACACTGAGGATTGATCCCTTGATCTACTGAACCAGTTTAATCACATTGCCAGAAAGTGACGAAACAAATTAAGATGTCGCTGATTTCGATGCCATCAACACACTTAGAAACTCCAGTATCAGTGAGAACAGTAAGTAGATAGGAACTGTTAGCCATGATCAAAATATCGTCTGTTACATATATTATTTTTTAAAGTCATTAATTAAAAATTTGTTTTTTTTCCTGAGAACAAATCTTCCTGACGCTTGAATTGAAAACTTCCTTGCGGAGTAATTACTTCTCACTACCGCTTGTATATTTGTTCTTCTTACCATTTGTCTATCTTCGTAAGTTCTGTAATCTGGAGAAGACTGGAAACTTGAACCTGCAGAATTATCGTGAATGCGTTTCGTTTTCACTTCCTTTATAAAGCATGAAACAATTATTTGTCACATTCGTCAAACAAAGTCGTACCCTGTGGTAACTTTCAGTGATATGTGGTGGCACGCCGTAGGTTTGTTCTGTGGACGCGTGCCCGTTGGACTGAGCAGACCTGTCATGCGCCCGCGACTCTTGCGACGTTCCTGCATGATTTACCAGTGACAGAAATGACATAACAGGTGCTTGCACATGGATAGTATTTTTAAAACGATTACAAAAAGGTTTATAGAACTGAATAACATTATATATAATCTATAGTTTTCGATAAAACCTCAACATGTGTCTTTTGGCCTTACTCATTAGAACTTCTTAAAAGTTAGTAAATTTGTGGTTCTCTGGCAAATAGATCACATTTCGTGACGATTCAAAAATAATATCATGAAGTAACAACAATAATGCTCAACTTTGACGAATAACAGAGAAATGTCGGCAAAAACGCCAGCGTGGTCAAAAGTGGCTTTATTGAAAGTTGTCTAGTTAATATTGCATTACTTGTTATTTGATCATCTTTAGCATACGTACAGAGAATAAAAGTGAATTTTACATATGAAACACAGAAGAATAAATTATGCAATATTCTCTATAGTATATAATCTAGATTAGGTGATAGTGATAACCAAATATAGTCTGATTATTGCAATATTACAAAGGCCAAAGGGTATATGCAAATCCGTAGATAAACGACGTAGAATCTGTATACTGATGTTTGGATGTTAGCATATATAAAACGAAAAATTTAAAATTCTTTTTCACGACGAACAAGACATTGCTTTCTCAGTTATACACTTTGCCCTGCAAGTAATCAAATACCATAGCTCCGCAATTTTTCTACACTGACCCCTTCTCAAGAAACTAGGAACAAGAGGAATTTTTGAGAAGTTATGCGCCAATTAACACACTAGCCGTTCAAACTCATACTTCAGCTACATAAACAAACGGAAAGGAAGAAACAAATAATCCCCTGCAAATTGTGAGAACTTTTAAAGCCAAGGATATGCAAATTCGAGATTCATCTATTTTATTTACTATATAGTAGGAATATCTCTAATTACGACAGATGATGTCAGAAAATGAAAAACGTCTCTAGCGTTGAATTAAACTGAATCGGAACCGACTGATTGTTCTAGACATTTAGCGAACTCTCTTAAGATACTACCAGTAAATGGTATTTGAACATTTCCTGCACATAGGTACGTATCTCATCATTCTGTTGAAATATTACAGGTGAGGAGCAAGGCGTTAGCCAAGCAGATGGAAGGGTAAGAAACGCTTGTTTGCACTACTAGCGTAGAACCAAGGAACTCTTTGGACACCTAGCAAAATACAAATCATCGGAGACGTTGTCATTGCCTGCGAAATATTGGTTTGGACGAGATATGCATTTAATGAAACCAAATAAACACAACAACGCTAAGACTCTCTAAATCGGTACTTTAACACGCTGATAGGATTTGCGTATAATACTGATTCCTGGCTGTAATTATCGAATTGCAAAAGATGACAGGTGAAAATGAATTGAAAATAAACCTGACAGTAACTTTCCATCATAATAGGCGACCGCTAGGGAACTGTCACTAACTTGAAATGAACTTTAAGATTGTTGTTATGAGTGTCTCAACTCTGTCACTCACGTTTCATGTTGTATACAAATTTATTTTCTATTTTCACGTTGATACTGCGACAGGTTGTGGATGATGCTGTCAGCGAATTAGCTAACTGATTGTGAAATCCTTTTATGTGATACGTTCGAAATAGAGATGGCTATAACTTTGGAGCATTTGGAATAAACACCTACATTATTGCTTAAAGGACGCAACTTCGGTCGAAGCTCATACTGTAGTGAGTTTATGATCAAAACACCGTAAAAGCCCTTCTTATACGCTAAAACTTGACCAAGACCATACAATCCAAAAGGACATGTACCTCTCGCAACGCGATACAAGTCTGCAGATGATCTGCATAACAGCGATGAAAATATTGATTATCGAAAGATGAGATCGAAAGACTATGACGACAACAGCAATGAATATGTGGATAATCACTACTTTTGAAATTGCAGGAGATAACCCGCACGAAATTCTGATAAGAAAGATATATTTTGAAATCCCATTTTAGTTTTGAGTCGAAAGGTCATTGTTTAACGAAGAAGATCAAACTTAAACTGAAGGCCCTTGCGGAATGATCATATCATTGTCCCTATATATTCCTTAAAAAACGTCAGAATCTATAATGATCGTTTATGTGCCTTCTCAGTGGATAATGGACTATTAAATTTTACTATGTAGTTAATGAAAACCTCACTATCCTCTAAGACTGTGCGAATAACTATGAGGCGATGCACTTATCAATATAATCAAAATGTAAATCTCTTAATGCGCATGCATTTACTTAATCATATATTTAAATACATGAGTTTGTTTATACTATATGTTAATTTGCCCTACGTGTCCCATAATCTTTACATATTTTTTGAGTGTATTAATTCTAATGTTTGCAGTTCAACCTCAAATGTTGTAGTCTAAATTATCTACCATATCATGGCAACAGAACCGTAGCATGAGGCTGAGTGAAAACAAAGGACCATTGTGCACAAAGACGTGTGACAGTGGCTCCCGTTCTGCCATTATTCAGCGCAACTGCACGCTTTAAACTCTTGAACTTAAATGAGTCTTTTGTGAAGCAGCATGCTAAACGATGAACACCGGTTGACCTTCAGACAGAATTTTACCAAACATTCAAGCACCACCACCTGCATGGAACGTGTAACCAAATTTCTGTTTCACACGAATTTAAAGCATGACTTTAAGCTGTCACAATGACATCTATTTGCTACTCTACAAGTGAGTACTGCACGCAGTACTGCTACTCTTCAGTACAGTTTGATTGTTGAGACCATCCGCTTCAGCCATCACGTGAGTAGAACGTCGCTAGTTTCGGAAAGCTGTCTTGTTTGCGTATTTGCACTTTTGGTGTAAAGCACCACGTACTGCGTTGTAGAAGGGACAATCCTTCTCTGAAAACAGACCTGCTTTTGTCTCGTTTGTCGATGTTGTAGACTGGCTTTGTGGGCAAGACATGGCTTATGATCAAACTAACATCGTCATTCCTCTTACGTTTGTTATTTTGCAACCAAAGTGGACTAACCAAATTCTTGCGTTTTTGAAACTGAACAAACTGCTGTTCTTCGAATAGTAGCAATTCTCTGTCAAAAAACTGTCTTCCATGACGTTGCTTTGGTTCTTTAGAAGGGTTTGCTCATAAAAATATAAACCGATTCATATTTGTATTTGTGCACCATCGCAGTACAAATGCCTTTGTTTACAGAAAGTTGCATAGATCCAAAGTAAACGCTGGAAGGAAAAACGAGAATCTTAACGTTATACGCCTTTGATTGCTATTCTTACCAGACAAATATAATAATATTAAAGCTAATTAATTAATGAAACAAAAGATGTGTCAAATGTCAGTGAGGTAAAATAAAAATCCTTGAAGCTTACGTTGCTCTGAATTAAAACGATCCGCTCTGCTCGCTGTTGTAGCCGGATACGGATACTTTGGGGTCGATTTAGACGTTATTACTTGAGTTGCGACGTCTTAACACAAAACAGACCATGTCAGAAGCACAAAAAACAACAAAACATTGGCAGCAGTGTGATCCTTTCGAAGCAGCGAGCAGCAGTACACCGACGAAGCCCAAGACTCACAGAAGCAGATTCAGCACGACGGACCGTACCATCAAAGAGACGACGAAGCATGAACACAACCTTGTACCACATTGCTACATTGTACCACACACGTCATATTGATTACTTGTACTGTACTGTGTTGTACTGTGCAACCCGTCTTGAACAGGGAGCCAGGTTAGGTAGGTGATATTCTGTCAACCAATGTAAACGTGTTACTGTGACCACGTTTCGGAGCCCCAAGCGGCTCTGATCGTCTTACCAATTGGTACTGCCGTTTGTTGCCCTTCGATTTCCGAGGTGTTGACCTTTCGGCCTGAGTCGGCCTGCTGCCAGCTGCTACTGTGTTGGTGGTGATGGTGGTGGTGATGATGACCCTCACCTTTCTTTCTGCTTCGGTCTTTCTTCTTCCTCACGTGTCGTTCGATTTCCTCTGTTCGCTTCACTTCCTCTATCTGCTCGATCGTTTCGGTAACTCTAGGGCTCTGCAAAACGCAAATTAAAAATTTCATTGATTATACCCCTTCTAAACATACCGGAGCAAACACGTTGCGGCTAAAGAGGTCTTCGTTGCGTGTGTCAAGAGCACGGCTGCGCGAACGACCGCCTTCTTGCTGTGAAAACCGCTCGACCTCGTGCCTCTGATGTTTCATTATTGACCTTGGCTTCGTTGCATTTTCGTCCTGTAGTTTCGTGATATTCATCAGAATTTGTTATCAACGCAATCAACATGAAATGCAACAAATTTGTAGATTAAGGAATGGACATACCGTTATGTAAATCGCGCTTTCTATGCCTTGTCAGATGACGGTAAATATTGTAAAACTAGTTTATGATGTTTGACAAGAAAGCATCTGCCTTTGGTTAGGCTGATGATCGTTTTGCATATGAACTTTGGTATCAATGGTGATTGCACAGTGAGCAAGAGATCGGTTTTAAACGTCAGGAGTGCCGTGATCCAACCCGATGCACAAAAAATATTCCTCTGAACAGCTAGTGCACATGAAGAGGGATTCGCCTCACGTTGCTTCGGTACAACAAGCCAAAAGACGGGGCCGTTTAGTGTTCAGGAAGCGTCACCAAGGCGCCATTGACAAAACCATGCTGAAAGATGTGGCACCTATCGACCGCAATTCGTTTTTACCACAAGGCAGGTACCTGTATCGTGTGATGAGCAGCATATGTATTGAGAAAAAGAAGGAGGATGAGGAAAAAGTTAAAATGACTTAAAGGCTGCTTTTCTATATTGAGTTGACGCCATTTTCTTAAATGTGCGGCAACCCCTTTGAAGACGCTTTGAAGTGAAGAAGAAACTGACTGACAACAAAAGAGATGCGTCTAATATTCCCGTGTGTCAGAATTACTGGCCCGTTTGTAGAAAAATACAAGGCCAGGAAGAAATGATCGTTACTGTATTAGCTGATTGGCCCTCGGTGCGTGACCAGGAAGGTTCTGTCCAATCCTGGAGATATATTGCCTCCTTGACAGTGTCGAATGTCCGTCCATGACCATACTGTTGACTACGAAGTATGTATCTACGTGTAACTGTGTGCTTCTGAAACCATCCCTTTCGCTATGGAACCGCAGTCTAGTGCAACACTCAGTATTTCTGCGTTTTACTCTGGATTCATCCGTGTTCTAAGTATGATGTCATGCTTTGATGCTATGAATGTTCATGGCGCGCTGTATCTGAATCTGGTGACACCTGACTGACCATTCAGTGAGCCTATTGTAACGCTGTAAAACATAGAGTAAACTAATGCAGCAGTAAACTAACGTGATCATGAAAATCACTTAACTTCCAATGACAGCTGGCACCTCATCCAGACAGTTCACTCCTCATAGCAAACAGTTATAACGTTCACAAATTTTTTGTAGTAACAACATCAGCATTACTGATGATCCAGCATCAGTGTACAGCATCAGCTTCTATGTCTTGTATGTAAACCGCCTGCTCCATGTGCCAATAAAATAAAGTATATGACATATAAGGGATATGGGTTCGAAATTAGCCGGTCATGAACGATTATTATTGGTTTTAATTTGCACCTTGCTTCATCCGGTAGCCTAATTCGTAATCAGTTACATCTGAAGCCACCGGGTTAAAATGAAACTGAAATTTATCTGGTGTTTAAGGAAATTACTAGGTTACTGTATACCAGTATATTCTATCGAAATTGTAGCAGTTAGGTGTCGGAAGGGTTCAATGAACCAGTAGATGCTTCGGCTTCTGATTGGGGTCCCAGGTTTGAGACGAGAAACCAGACTATACTAGTCATCAGCTGGTATACTAACAAGTCGCTATGCACCCATGTTGAAGAATAGGATGAAGAAATCAACGAAGACATGCACTTCATTGATCGTCGCATACGGTAACCTGGGCCGCGGCGCAGATTTAGTAGGTGTCAAGCTTGCTGTATCGTACCGCATGATCGTCCGGGATCAAAACCGGTGGAGACTCGTCAATGACAGCTGGGATCAGCGGTGGCGTCGCACCACTTATGGCTACCAAAATGAGGAAATGAACGAGCAACGAAGAGGTAGCCAAACTGTCTTCAGAGAAGCTTGCGATTTCATGAGTCCCTCGCCTCC